GGACAGCCCTGGTTAAGTCATAAGTAAAGCATGATTAGAGAATATGTGTAGTTTTTATTTGGGAAAGGACTTTATAGATTAATTCTTCTCATAAAATTATCACCAGTTAGTTACCAGTTAAAGTAATTGACTAGAGTTTCTGATTGAGACTAAATGAGAGAGTATATAAGGAAATATAATCACCCAGTGGAGCTCATTCATTTATCCATCTCTTAAAACCTGAGCCCTGGGTTCTGAAATCCCAGACTTTTGGAGGTTAGCACAGAGCGTCCATATGGTACAAGGTGATGTTTTTGTCAAGCCCCATAGAAATGAGGTGACTCCCCAAGGTCACGCCATGTCTTTTTACCATGAGTTAGTGGCTGGGCCTTGATGTGAACATGGCTCTCCTGACCCTCCCCAGCATTCCCACATTGGCCCACATTGTTAATACAAGAAGCCTGTGTCAGGGGTTATGCTCAGAGTCCATTAATAGGTGTCCCCACTGCATAAGCAAGCACTAAAGAGTGGGATTGGCAGTGCTGGGATTCTGTATACAGTTTTACCATTTAGCTGGGGAGGCAGGACATGTACAAGCTCGAGACCCTTGAGCAGTGGAAACTGCACAAATACAGAGAAGGAGAGGAAGAGGTTATTTGTGGACTTGTAAACTTCCTCTTGGGATGGGGGTTCTGAGAAATGTCTGGATAGTGAAAGGAAGATATTTTGGTAAGTTTGGGAGTTGAATGANCTCTTCTGGGATGAGCCACATTCCTTATCGTATGTTCCAAGGGAACCCCAACAGGGCTGATCAAGTGTTCTGTCACCAGTGATTCTCAATTTTTCCAAATTCCACTGAGAAAGAATTTGCAGACATGTCTTACAAAAGGGGAAGGGAGCAAACCACAAGGGCTGTGCTGGTAGTTCTTTGAGTGTGTTTCGTGGACCGCTGCACCAGCTTCATCATGGGACTTGTAAACATGCAAATTTGGGGCTCACCTTGGACCTCCAGGGATGGAACCTAGGTATCGACATTCTTAGTAAGCTTCCAGAGTGACTCTCGGGCTGAGATTAAGAACCAGTGTCTAGGGATGAGGGGGATACTTGCCATGCCTTGGTAAATGTTATGTTTTATCACCAAACCACAGATTTGGGAGGAAACTGAGGATCAAGAATGTACCTCGTAAAAGTCATACTATTGTTTGGAATGTCCATTCCACTAATGTGTGCCTAGTGATAAAACTTCGAAATCCCTGTTTCTAGACGCCCTTGTCGGGCTGTGACTTCATGCACCCACACACACACAGACCAGCCCCCCGGGTCTCCGTCAGCCACGCTAGGCTCCAGTGCTCTTTCATGTTATATGACACTCTCGCTAGCCTCATGGAGACAATCAATGAAAACCCATTAGCCTGCTGTGCTGCCTCACTGTGCGGGTGCAGGGGGCTGTCGGCCACGGCACCAGCCAAGTCAGCATGCCAGGCCTGCATCCAACCCAGGGGCTGAGCAGAGAACACCCCGAGTCAGCAAGACTCAGCTCCCAGGGGCTCCATTACAGCCCATGCAGCTGTGGTGAGCTGAGGAGAAAGGGAGCGGAAAGGCTCCCTCCCTTGCCCTCCTTCCCTTTCAGTCAATGGATCTGTTCCTGGAATGTGCAGAGCCCCTCCTTGGACGTCCTTGGTGATGCTCCTAAGTAGTTTGCTGCTCTGAGTAGGTTTCTGTCTCAAGGTGGTTGAGTGCACATGCTGCTGTCCTTCATAAACTCCTTGGAAGCATATTCCAGAAGAACAGAAAGACTAGGATTCTGGGATGCAGGCCTCTGGCCCTGTGGCTGATGCTGCCAAGGAGCCCAGAGACCTGCAGGGCCACGTGTGAAGCAGTAGGGAGAAAGGCAATCTTGAGTTAGGAGGCTTCCAACCTTCTGCATGCTACAGAGCAGTCATGCGGTCTCCCTGAGACTCAATTTACCCAGCTATGAAAGAGATGGAATGTCTTACTCTTCCTCACAGGAGTGTTGTGGAAAGCAAATGCATTAGTACAGGAATCAAACTAGAATATGCTGTAAAATGCCTTATTAATATAGAGTGAGGGATGATATTAGCATGGAGGTTTAATGTAGAAAGCACACCAGAGGAGGACTGAGAATAAGATGACTGAATCTGTTATTTCTCTCGGGTTGTATCAATTGTTACTGAGTGCATTGGGATCTCTGAGTGGGAGATTTCCTCAGCTGAGTGTGGGAGTCTAACATGTGAGCATGTTCTGAGGAGAGGTTTCTAAATGTCTCCACCATAATTTGGAAGATGAGGAGGTAGAGGAAAGTGAGGAAAAGTGGGGAAAGTGAGTAAAGAGGAGTGAATAAGCACATGGGCAGTTTCCAGGAGGAGTATACACAATTATGGCTTATCAGGCTACCCTGGTGATGCTTATGACCAGTTTGCTGCTCTGAGCAGGTTTCCATCTCAAGGTGGCTTCCATTTCATTGCTGTCTTTACCAAGTAAAGACATCAACCCGTAGATCTTCAGTGCATATGTCTTATAGAAGTATTTTCTCCAAAGGTGTTCACCGTTCAGGCTGCAAATGCAAGGTAGCATCCTGACTAAGTGGATACTGAAAGGTCTTCTGAGTTCCCAAGGGATGGAGGGACCAAAAGCCAGATTCGAGAGATTGCTAAGAAAAAGAATATATCATGGAAAAGGAAAAGAAGGATGAACAACTTGGTATTTTTTTTAAGCTACAAGTGTGTGAACTTTAATCCCTGGAGGGCCAATAAATATTGGAAAATTTCTGGAAAATCAGGAGCAGTGTCTACTAAAAAGAGACCAAAAATACTCAGGAACTTCCAAGAGAAAAGGAATCCTGTTACTTATTACAAGAGGAAGAAATGTTTCTTCACAGATCTCACTGAGAAGAATCAGCAGCAACAGAAGCACCACCACCACCATCACTGTCACCATCACCATCACCATCACCATCACCACTAACACTGATTGACTGTTATTATTGCCAGGCACTACACAAACCTCACTGAGAAGAATCAGCAGCAGTAGCAACATCACTATCACCACACACATAACCATCACCCCCATCACCACCACTACCAACACCATCATATCACCATAATCATCACCACCATCATAACCATCAGCATCTCTACAATCACCACCATTATCATCACCATCACTACCATGATTATCATTACCACCACCACCATGATCATCACCATCACCACCACCACCAGTCACCATCACCACCATCATCATCATTACTACCATCATCACTACCAACACTACCAATACTACTACCCCCACCAGCACTATCACCAACACCACCACCATCCCCACCACTGCTAGCATTGATTGACTATTGCTATTGGTAGGCAATGTGTTGAGTGTTCTATAAATAATATCTCATTTAATCATTGCAACAACTCCATGAAGGAGATAAAAGTAACCGTTTTTTTTTTTTTTTGGCATTTTTTTTTTTTTTTGGCATTTTTTTTTTTTTTTGGCATTTTTTTTTTTTTTTGGCATTTTTTTTTTTTTTTGGCATTTTTTTTTTTTTTTGGCATTTTTTTTTTTTTTTGGCATTTTTTTTTTTTTTTGGCATTTTTTTTTTTTTTTGGCATTTTTTTTTTTTTTTAATTTTTTAGAAAAGAGAAAATAAGATTTATTTTCCAAAGTAGAAACCGATGGGTTATCATCAGAGCTGGATAGGAAATAACACATAAGGATATAGTTGGAAGCATTAACTTAACTTCCCAAAAGAATTCTTGAAAGAAAAAATTCAGAGAAACAAATGTATGTCTTAAGAGATCAAGAAATAATGCCTTACATTTTTTAAATTTCAAAAGATAATTTCAACATATTTCTTGATAATATTTGACTAAGATATGTTGAATGCTACTTCATGTAGATTATTTTATTTAACAACCCCTTGAAGCATTATTATCCCTTTTACCATTGAGAAAACTGTTTAAACATACATTAAACAAATTGTCTAAGGTTATATAGCTACTATGTATACAGCCAGGATTCTAACTCAGAAATCTGACCAAAGAGCCAAACCTTCTAAACTCTATATTCTTCTGGCTCTCTAGAACTCCTTGGAGTATGATAGCCAATTATTTATAGCACATATTCAGCTGTTCCCCATTCCAGTAATATCACTAAAGGTTAATTAAACTCCATTTCTTCCCAATTTAAGGAATGACTGTTTTACAGATGAGAAAACTGACACTCCAAGAGCATAAATGACTTTCTAAGAATCACACAGATAGTAAGTGATGGAACTAGGGTGTGAGACCAGGCAGTCTGCCTCTGGAACCTATTCTCTTAAGACCCCTATACCAGAGACATGACTTGCTAATTGGGAAGGGTCATGCCTTCCTGGATTAGTTTCCTAAAACAAGGTGGGAAGGTTGCTATGACTCACAAAGGCCACTCATTTTTGCTGATCTAAGTGGAATGAATGACACAGTCAAGGAAACTAAAAATAGCTGTCTAGGGTCCTTAGTGACCTCAATAATAAACTGAGGGATTGGGGAGGAACAGGGGGTGGCATCACACTTTCTGCCAGCTGAAGATTATAATTTTGGAATAGAGAGGGACATATGAGGAGTGGAGAACTGACTCTGCAGAGACCAACTCAGTACAGGATATGGCTTTCCTGACCCTGCTTACTACACCAGACCCATGGGCTCCTGGATAGGGTGCCTGAGGCTCCACCTGTGGTAAAGAGTGAAAGCAGGAAGAAGAGGGAGAAAAAGTTCCTGATAAATATGAAGCCGATACAATGGAGAACCAGCAAAATAACATGAAAAGAAAAACCCAGAATTCTTGGGAAGAATCAGCAGGGCCTCCCAACAACAGGAATATTGCTTCTAGCTTCAGATCAGAGATTGGGTAATGCACAGAATATGGGTTAAAACCACAGAATGTGAAATAATAATGACAGTAATCACTTATTGGGCACATATATGCCAAGCATTGTGCTAAGGCCTGATAGGTCTGATTTTGATTAACCTTCACACCATTGTTGTAAGGATTATATTCAGAAGAGGAAACTGGGACTTAGAGATCATATACCTAGTAAGTGGGGGAGCTGGGATTCTCCCCAAGGCCAGCTTCTCACCACCCACTCTAACCATGGCACTGTACTGTCTCCTAAATGTTAACTCAAGGTGCTGAGTTCATCTCAGATGTATCACTGAAACTTAGAGAGATGAGACTCATTACTAGGATGCAGCTATTAAATAAGTGTTACTTAATAAGAGGTGGAGAACTGAGTGTTGGCTAATAACACATCTGTCTCCATGGAATCCACAAGTGAATTTGATCCATGGATGACTGTACCAAGCAAGGAAACATGCAGTGATAGGAATGAAGGACGAGAGAGAAACTATAGTTGTCTTTAAATATTTGAAGGAACTGTCATGTAGGAAAAGAGGTAGATTCCCCTTGGTTGCATAAGAATAGGCAGAGTCACAAGGAGTCAGGTCCCAGCTCCAAATAAAGAGGACAGTCGTGACAATCATAGTGTCCAGAGGCAGAGCAGACTTCCTCAAGAAGAGGCAAGCCACCCTGTCCTGGGTGCAATTTATGCAGAGGATGGGTGCCCACCTATCTGGAATGCTGTAGATTCCTGCCCTGGGTGGGAGGTTGGACCAAATGCTCTGTGAACTCTATGCCCCTATGGAACTATTAAGCCCCGTCAGCGAGGCCCACAGAAACACAAGTTCAGTATTTGTGGCCTGGAAAACTTGGCCAGATGCCTGCAGTGCTCAGGTTCCTCATCGCTGAACTTAAATAAGTCACTTCAGACACCTGTCTGTCTTTAAAAGAGAAGGGGGTACCTGACCCCTCTAAACCATTGCATTCTGAAGGCTTTGACCATTGGAGAGGGGGTACAGGGAGACTTACAGACTTATCCCAGGAGAAAAGAAAAAGAAAGAGATCAATCCCAAAACTCTTCATTCTCCCAGCCCCTCTCTAAAGCATTTTGCAATCAGGGACCTCCCTGCCCTCAGCTTGTATTAAGGGATGTTAGAAAGGCGCTCATCAGCCAAGAGGCGGGTCCCTGTGGGAACCAACTCAACTTGTACAAACACTTCATCATCGCCCTAGACCCTGCCCACAGCCTGCTGACACCTGGCCCTTCCTAGATACGCAGACATATCGTCTTCTCTCCCAGGACTAGCTCCCAGATGGACATGAGGGCTTTCAGCCAGGCTTCCCCAATGCATATGCAGTTTCTTTTCTCCTCACGGCTCCCAAGTGTGCATTTGTCTACTGGCACACACAGGGAGATTTGTCCTCTGATAAACTTTGCCCCATGACATTTTTCTCCCCCAAAGTAGGCCATCTGGTCAGCTAGTCCTGAATTCCCAGCATCTCCCAAGTAGCTTGGAGGCTGGCTCCATTTCCTGTCCTCCCCAGACTTTCATTGAGCAACAGGCAGAACGCTGGGCCCACCCGCATTCTGTTGGCCCCAAAGCACATTCCAGGGTGACGGTGACAGGGAGTGAGAGCACCTTTCTTGTTTGGGACAGTTTCATCAGACTCCTTCATCCTTAATACCTGGGAAGGCTAATGTGTGGTATATAAGCACATTGGGGAAGGGGTGGGTGAGGCACATCCTGTCCTCCGCCTGGGTACTTATTCATACTCAGCAAGCATGCTCTGAAGTCCTCCTATGTGCCGAGCACCATGCTAGGCAGGGGAATAGATTAAACCACAAAGCACAGGCATGGCCCTTGCCATTGAGCATACAGCCTGAGAAAAAATGTAGCCTGTCCCCAGGAGCAGTGCTTTCCAAACTTCACTGTGCACAGAGACCTTGTTAAAATTTAGTATGTCTGGGTGGGACTGCGAGGCTACACCAGGTGACGCTGATGCTGCATGTGCCGAGGCCATGGAGAATGAGTAGCACGAGCTTAGTTAGCAACTTAAGGAGGGTCCAGAGCAGTGCAGGGTCCCCTTAGGATGAGCAGTGGTCAGGATGACAAGCAGGGAGGTCTTTCTTTCTCCCCCACATCAAGACCCCTTGTTGAGAAGCCAAGGTTTCTGTGCCCTTTTCTCTCACCTGGTAGAGTCTCTGGGCAGCTGCCAGTGTCAGGGTGGGAGCAGCTGTGAGAAAATTGGTGTTGTGAGAGGAGATTCCTTGACTTGGTCCTGAGATAGCAGAGGGTAGGGAGGTGTTAACAGGGCCCAGAATGTTTCGCTAGCAGTGTCCTCTTGTCTTTGCAGACTGTGCTGGGTGCAAGGAGGAGATCAAGCACGGCCAGTCACTCCTGGCACTGGACAAGCAGTGGCATGTCAGCTGCTTCAAATGTCAAACCTGCAGCATCATCCTCACCGGGGAGTACATCAGCAAGTGGGTTCCTCCCCTCCCCACCCTGCTTCCTGGGCCTCTGCATTCTGCAAGGCCGGCCCCCTCTGGCCCTGGCCTGCATCTCCAGCATCATCGCCCTTCATTTCCATCGGCTGCCACACTTTGGCCACAACAGCCTCTTTCCCAGCCTCTTTCCACCCAGCCCTCCCTCCATGGTGTTTCCTCAGCCTGGTCTCGGTCTCCACATGCTCTGCTCAGATGCGGCTCACACCATCGCTCACCACCTGCAGTCCCCCACTGCCAGCCCTCACAGTGCCCTGTTTGTTTCCTTCATGCAGCCTACCACATTTATAAATATACATTTATCCGTGTTAACTTTGCAGTCTTAACATACTACCATTTAGTGAGTTTTTATTATATACCAGGAACTTATTAACTGCTTTGTAGGATTATCACATTAAACCCCATAACCACCCCCACAAGGTATTATCTCCATGGGATACTGAGGCTTGGGAAGTGAGTACTTTGCTCTAGTGATGGTGTTTAATGTCTGTCCCTGCCAGGACAGGGGCTTTGTTTTGGTCACTGCTATATCCTGACCCAGAGTCCATAATATGGTTGTTGAATGAGTTTAACGAAGATGAGAGGATGTGAGGACACACCAAGTTATCAGGACAGAGGGGTCAGTCCCCATGACTTACACACCACAGCATTAGACAAGTCCTCTTGTTGCCAGGCCCTGGGGCCACATTTATAGACTCAAGTACCTAAAAGCAGCTATGAGCACAGACCCTCACAGGCTTGATGCTTATGACCCCAGACACATCCTTGGTACCGTTCGCTGGCCCAAAGCCAGGAGATGGTAAGCATGTGAAGCTGCATCATGAGTGGTTCTGCTGTCAAGACACCTGCTGTCCAAGGAAGATGACTGGGTACATGAAGAATTGTGACACCGGGGGCTATGCGATAGAGAGCTCAGGAGAAGTTTTATTCCTTACCACCTTCTCAATCATAAGTGACAGAAAACCCAACTCAAACTCACCTAAAAGCAAGAATGAGAGTTTATTGACTCATGGAAATAGGAAGCCCAGAAGCACACTGACTTCAGGTATGGCTGAATCCAGAGGCCTGAAGATTTATCAGTGCTTTGGGAGTCTTCTTCTCTCCGTCTCTCTGTGTCTCTCTTTCTGTCTCTCTATCTCTCTATCTGTCTCTTTCTCTGTCTCTTAGCTCTACTTTCTTCTTTGTTGGATTCATTCTCCAGCAGGCCCTTCCCAGTGATAGCAAAGAAGATGACCAGCAACTCTAGGCTTTTATTTCAGCAGCTTAGCAAGCCTAGCAGAGAAGAGGACTCTTTCCCAACAACTCCAGCGAAAGTCTCATTCCTGCCTTTGATTGGGTCACCTTGGGTCACATTCCCATTTCTGACCAATCACAGGTCAGGAGGATCTGAATCCTAGAGCCAGAGAGCAGCCCTTAGTGATAGCAAAGAAGATGACCAGCAACTCTAGGCTTTTATTTCAGCAGCTTAGCAAGCCTAGCAGAGAAGAGGACTCTTTTCCAACAACTCCAGCGAAAGTCTCATGCCTGCCTTTGATTGGGTCACCTTGGGTCACACTCCCATTTCTGACCAATCACAGGTCAGGAGGATCTGAATCCTAGAGCCAGAGAGCAGCCCTTGTGACCCACAGTAACCTCAAGTGCAGAGGGTGGCTTCCAAAGGAAAATCCAGGCAAGGTTCTGCTACCAGCAGAAAAGGGGGAATAGATGATGGCCAAACAGCACTTGCCTATGCTGGTGGTACAGGTGAAAGGTTATGAATATTCAGAGAAAGGAGTGATCACTTCTAGCTAGCAAGAAGCAGAACCTGGAATCTGTTAAGAGCTTCATGGAGGGTGGTGGTATTTAAGCTGGACTGTAGAAAAAAGAGGCAAGATTTGAAAATGCAAAGAGAGCTTCTATGCAGAATGCCTAGCATGGGCAAGGGCAGTGAGGCAGGTGAGTCCTGAACCCCTCCATTCTGTCTGGGAGCTCAAGTGTGTGCACAGGTGATGCAGGATCCCAGGCTGCAGAGGTGCGCTGAGGTCTGGTCACTGAGAGCTCTGAATGCCATGTTACTAGGAGTTTGGCATTCCCCTCTATGCCTGCCAAGCAAGGAGTGCCCTTAGTAAGTTGCCAGCCAGCAGTCCTTGAGTCTGGGAACCTAAGTCAGAATTCTCTGAGGAATAAGGGCTTGCTCAGAGCTCCTCTTGAAGAGGCCCAGCCCACATTTTCCACCACACCTGGCGCCTCCCCAATCTGGCTCTGGGCTCCTCACCTGGCTGCTGGCAGAGCGGCAGGGGCTCGGGGCATGGGCTCCTGCATCAGATGCCTGGGGCAGAAGCCCAGCCATGTGACCTTGTCAAGGGACTCACTGCTCTGAACCTGAGTTTCCTCATTCATAAAAATGGGGATAAGGAGATGACTTATCTGGTAGGGTTGTGTAAAGTCTGAGGGATCTGTGCTTCACACCTGATAGGTGCCCAGTAATTATTCAGTTTACCTTCTTCCTCTTTTAGAATCATGTGTATTTCAAATTTCCCATGGCTTCACCAACCCATTGGATCCGAATTGAGGTTGTGTTGGCATTTATACTCAAATTTTCCTGGCTCATTGTACGTACCTCCTGACAAATGACTTTCTCCACCTGCAAAGTTATCCTCCCACACCCACAGAGTAAGAACCTGGTTTGGGGTCAGGAAGGGGAAAGGGTTGGGGAAGCTTGTTTCATGGGCTCTGAGCAAGCCCTTGCCTGTGGGCACACTCTCACCTTCAGGCCTTTGCCAGCCCAGCCCTTGCAGATGTTTCTCCTTCAGGAAAATGCAACTGCCCTGCTGCCCACTGGGGACTCCCAGCAATCCCAATGTGGCAACAGCTTTGAGATGGAAACATGGCATGCCTGTCCTTTAGGCCTCTCCATGTCTAAGCCAAGTTCTCTTACACCCAGAAGTGGGAAAATGTCCCTCTCTCCTCAGAGTTCAGACCTAGCCCTCAGAGTTAGGCAGTCCCCAGAAACTGGGCTGAGCTCGCCAGTGAACCCAACTGTCTCTACATCTGCCCTAGAGAGCTGAGCCCCAAAGTCCTCCTTGAAGAACCCTCTCAGCGATCATGGCAATTCCCCAGCTGCCATTTGCTGCGGACTCTCTCTGGGCTGGGCACTGTCCTGCACCGTGGGATACACTAGACCAATTGCCTGGATTTGAATCCCAGCTCTGGGTAACCTGGGGCAAGTTACTCAACCACTCTATGCTTGGGTTTTCTCATCCACACCATGTGGATACTAACAGTTCTGACCTCATGGGACTGCCATAAGGACTAAGTGAAATAATCTATGTAAAACACCACCAGAGGGCCTGGCATACATCAAGCAAGAAATGTTAATGGCCATTAGTAGTAAGGGGTAGTATGAGAATAATGAACAACAATCTTATCATTCATTGTCCACTAAGTTAGAAGCATTGGGTAAAAATGGAGCATGCAGGAGGTGGTCAGGGGAGGCTTCCTATTAGCTACTGATCCAGGAGCACAATCTGTTGGTTCTTTCACTACAGGTGAAATTTTTGATTAAAGGAGGAGCCCTTAAGGATACATAAAAAATTGATCACATTGATTACTTCCTGGAAGGGAAACTGGGAGGGGATGAAAGGAGGGAGGAGGCTTTTCCCTTTATGCGTTTGGGATATTGTATATGCAGATATTACCTGTTCTAAATAAAGTAAAACTTGAATAAATGTTTAAGTAATTTGCAAAAAGAGTCCTTTGGGGTAAAAGGAAGAAAATGGCTCCAGAGAACTTGTGGGGAGAGAGAAGAAGATGAGTGGAAAGAGGACACCCCAAGCCAGCAGTCCAAAGCAGTGGTCACAATGCAAAGTCCTGGCCCTATCCTAGGGATTCTCATATTCTGTATATCTGAGGGTTGTCTGGGGAGTTTGCATTCTAAATGAGCTCCCTAAGTGGTTCTAACTTGGCCCCATCATCTAGACTGCAGGTCCTGGAACTGCCACGTGACACCCCCGGCTGATCCCCCCGCAACTTCCTCATCCTGTGTGAATTTCCTCTTGCAGGGATGGCGTTCCATACTGCGAGTCCGACTACCACTCCCAGTTTGGCATTAAATGTGAGACTTGTGACCGATACATCAGCGGCAGGGTCTTGGAGGTGAGTGAGTAAAAGTAACTGTGAAGATTTTGAGCAGGATGCCCTATGACTCCAAAAAATGATCACCAAGGAAGGAGAAAGTCACCCCACACCCCGTCTTCCATAGCCTCAGCCTCTCTCAGCTTTGCTTGCTATGTGACCTTGAGCCAATAACCTTGCTGAGATTTCTGGCCAACCCCAAAATGAGAAAGTGGACAATATTATTCCCAGTTCAAAAAATGCTGCGCTGGGTAAATCAGTTCTTTCTTTGGATTTGGACCCAGATAGATTTCTGGACAGTGACAATTATCATTTTCTTCCCAGCCATGCCTGAGGATAAGAGCGTTTTTTTATTTTTTAAGTATTTGGTAATGTGCTGATTTAAGAGCCAGCTTGTCTAGCAGCTTGCTCCCTAAGCCCTTCTTTGGCTGGTTCATCACTATAGCAACAGCTCTCCCCAGCCTCCGATGCACAGCTCACTCTGCTATTGACAGACACCCTGCAGTACCCTTGCTAAGCCCCTGCCTGAGCCCTCATCCACTGGCCTTCCTGACCCTCTTCCCATATCCTGTGGGCCTGGAAGCTGTCTTCCCATACTTTGGGACCACCCACCTTGAGGAATTAGAAAAAGGAAAGAATTTTGTGCAAAGGAAAAATAATAGCCTAACAGTAGGTATAATTGGGTTCTAATATTGGCTCTACTGCTAACTCATGCTCAGATTTGGGGTGAAAATCTTTACCTATCTAGGCTTCAGTTTTTCCATCTGACAATGACTGGGGGATGGCAGACTGGGTCAGCTATTGTGAGCAAAATCATTAATTCTGCCAAATCTGGCCAGCTGGTTACGGTTACCATGGTTGAGAAGGATTCTGCAGCCACATCTGGGCTCAGCAGAAGAGAGAGTAGCTGGAAAGGACTCTCCGAGGAGAGGCATCGAAGAAGAGCCCTGGGGGTGGGAAGGCCATCACAGGAGGAGCTAAAGGAAGAATGGGATTGACCATTCAGGGAACAGAGAAAAAGGCCAATGTGGCTGAATTCTATAGATTGAGGGTGGGGAAGGATGGAGTATATCATTAAGGACATATCATGTAGGACTTTTTAGACCAGGATTGGGAGTTTGGGTTTTATGCTAAGTGCAATGGAAAGCCATTGGGGAGTTTTAAACCATGGGGCAACATGATAAGATTATGTTGTAAAAAGATTTCTCTAGTTGCCATGGGGAGGATTCACTGTAGGGAGTCAGAGAGAATAAGATAAACAAACGCACAGTGTTGGTAAACTGTTAAGCATCTCCAGGGAGCAGTCAGGAGTGCAATGCAGAGGGGAAGACATGGACACAGAAAGGGTTGTTGGGTGCCAATTACTGAGGGCCTGGGATACCAGAGTAAAACATTTATGTAATTCACTGGGCAATGGGGAGTTGTGGAAAGACTGGGAGAAGTGACCTGATTAGAGCTGTCCTCAGGGAGGATAACGTGATGGTCTACACAAGCTAACCTAGAAGGAAGGTGTATTTGTCCATTTCTGTTGCTTATAACAAAATACCTGGGACTGGGTAATTTATAAAGAAAATGAAATTTATTGCTTACAGTTTTGGAGGCTGGGAAGTCCAAAGTCCAGAGAACACATCTGGTGAAGTCCTTGTTGGTGGTGACAGTGACACAAGGGTCTCACATGGCAGAATGGCACAGCAGGGAGAGAGACTCTCATGTGTTCTCCTTTTCAAGCCCTCAGAACCACACCCATGACCACCATTATTAATCCGTTCACTAGGGCATGGTCCTACAATCCGATCACCTCTTCAAGGCCCTGCCTTTCAATTACCATAACAGGACTTCCCACTCTCAACAGTTACAATGGGGATTAAGCTTCAATGACTTTGGAGGGCCATTCAATCCACTGCAGAAGGAAACAGGGAGGGGAGACCAGTGAGGAGGCTACTGCTTGGCCAAGGCAGGAAGGATTCAAGAGCTACAGTAGCAATGGAAAGGGCAACCACCCTAGGCTCCAGCATTTTGAAAGAAGAATTCAAATAGCTCTGCAGCCACGGGGCAATTTGTAGATGTGGGGATTGAAGGAGAAGAAGCTAAAAGTTGTGCCAAAGTATCAAACCTGGGTGATGGGAAGTCTGGTGTTGCCATCTGTGGAAATGGGAATGGCAAGGAAGAAAGCTGATCTGGCAGAAATGTGGCAAGTTCCATTCAAACAGGTTGGGATTGAAAATCCCAAGAAGGTTTCAAAGAGGCAGTCAGACATATGGACCAGAGTTAAGGAGGAAAGCTCAGGCCTGGAAGGACCAATCTCAGAAACACTAGGATTTGGATAATAGTATCATGGAGATCATCAGGATTTACAAGACAGAGGAGAGAGAGAAAGAGGAAGGGAGCCAAAGCCAACCTTGGAGAACGGCTGCTTACAGGTGGCAGAAAGAGACTGAGGCATTATCAGGGGAAGAGGGACCATCAGGGGAAGAAGAAGGGACTGTCAGGGATGTGGGAGGAGAATTGGGAGGGGGCAGTGAAAGGACAGAACTTCAGAAAATATGACAGGGTCAGGGCTGGCCCATGGCTCACTTGGGAGAGTGTGGTGCTGGTAACACCAAGGCCACAGGTTCGGATCCCTATATAGCGATGGCCGGTTAGCTTACTTGGGAGAGTGTGGTGCTGACAACACCAAGTCAAGGGTTAAGAGCCCCTTATCAGTCATCTTTTAAAAAAAGAAAATATGTCAAGGTCAATCAGAATATTAGCCAAATTCTATAGAGCAGTTACAAACTCTGCAGTCTGAGAAAAAGCTGTTGGATGTGGGGAAAGGTCACCCTCAGAAGAATCATTTGTTGAGTCTGCAGGACCATGGAGAAGAGTCATCCAGCTTGTAGTGGGGTGAAGGGTCAGTGGGATGGGAGATCACAAATGGAGACTTTTCTTTGAAGAAGCAAAGAACTTCGATTACACACAGGGCCACAGGTGGGAATTTGTTCTAGCATTTCCAAGCTGCTTTGAAATTCGGTTGTGGTGGCTGCCTTTTCCCTGAGTGTTATTGTTGTTTAGCATTGTGGTGGTCTCTTCCTCCTAGCATCTATTGTGACTGGGCTTCAATTGATTCTATTTGTAGGAAGCTCCATCAGCATCTTGGACTTGTTGATTTTTTTTTTTTTTTTTTTTTTTTCCTTAGAGCTGGAAGAGACTTTTAGCAATCTCCTCATTTTACAGATGAGAAAAGTGAGACCCAAGACGGGAGGTTTTTCCAAGGTCACAGGCAGCTAGAGACAGAGCTAAGATCTAGAGCTCCAGGCTGCTACACTAATGCCCACAGTTCTCAGCCACTCAGGGATGTTTGAGGCAGCATAATGTCAGGAAAAAATGTGGTTTCAGTGAAACAGACTTGGGTTCAAATTTTATCACTTCCAGCCATGAAGCCTTAAGCAAATTACTTTCTCTGCATCTTAGTCTTTATTAATAGAGAATACTCCTGTCATTTAGTTCCTAATGAATATATAGTCAGGACTTTTTTGGTTGCAAGTGCAGAAACTATACTCAAATGGCTCACGCTGAAAAGGAAATTTATCAGCTCCTATTACAAAAAGCCCAGGAGCAGATCTAGCTTCAGGCACAGCTGAATCTTGTACTTAAACAAAATCATTTTTTTTTAATCATTCTGTGGCCATCTTGGCTGCACTTTCTTCTATGTTGGCTTCACTCTCAGGAAGGCTCTTCATGATGGGAAGTTAGACACTGGCTGCTGCAGGCTTACATCCTATCAGCCGGCATCCCCAGTGGAAAGAGCTTCTCTTTTCTAATAGCTCAGCAAACATCCCGGGACTGACTCTCTTGAACAATCTCAGGCCTGTTCCTGAACCAGAAGCTGTGCCCATAGAGCTGGAATATGCTTACTGGGGGGTCAGCACTACTTAACCACATGGACGGGCATGAGGATAGGTAGTCAGTCCCACTATGGGAAGGCTTGGTGCTGTTTCTGGAAGAAGGTAGAAAGAATGTTGGTCAGGTAGGAACAACAGTCAATTACTTACTGAGGGGCCCAGCACATTGCCTGGTACACAGCAGGCACTTAATTAAATTATTTCCCCTTCTCTTCTCACCTTACTGCTTCCCATTCCCTCCCCAGGCCATCCCATGATCCCTTCCTCAGTGACAGAGCTCAGCAAACTGAGTGTCAGCCACACTCCTTCCTTCCTTATCTGTTCACACCAAAGAGAGCCACACACCTGGTTTCCCTGTTGCTGCATTTCCTACCCTCATTTGCCATTCTCAGTCTTCTCCAATGGGTACCTGTTTTTTCGGGTACCAGCTCTGCCATTTTTCTTCACTATTTTCTTGACTTCAGTTTGTTCACAGACAAAATGTTCATCTTATATCAGTGACTTGGCTTTTTCTTATGCTGGGTGCAGGCTGCCCTAACAGCCTCCCTTCCCTCAAGTTATTTTCAACCCCATCCATGGCCAGAGTTGCTGAGATAGCCACGAAGCCTCTCTCAGCTGGGGTGAGGTGGAGGATGTGATATTTAGGAAGATGGTAAGCTTCACTGTTGCCAAAATGCTGTTGCCACCCTAAGAAACAGGTCTATAATTGAAATGATAAAGAGACGCAGAGCAGGAAAAGGCTACTAATTAAACTGATTATCCTTGTCACGGTACAAGAGAATCAGCCCCATGACATCCCAGCTTGGGAAAATAGCAGGCTCCTTCCAAAGTTTGAATATAGTTTGCTTTGATGATGACAAGGATATTTTTCTCGTCAGTGGGAGCCACATAAACCAAGAATTTAAAAAAGGGATATTGGAGACTTTTTTTCTTTTGCAAAAATCTGCCCTTTCAACATTCTTACTACGTTTTTAAAATATATTGAGTATCTCCAGAATAAGCAAGCTCATCCCAACACCCTCCTAAAAAAAAATCTGCCCTTTCAACATTCTTACTACGTTTTTAAAATATATTGAGTATCTCCAGAATAGGCAAGCTCATCCCAACACCCTCCTAAAAAAAATAAAACGGGGGTTGGAAATAGGCCTTCTTATTATGCAATTATGATTTGTGAATTGGAAGGAATCCATTTGCATCAGACCACATGATGGCTTGGAGAGGGAGCCTTTAACAACCCCCCCCCCCATATCCATCAATATCCTCCAGTCATTACCCCTACCCCTCCCAAAGAAAAAACCCTGATATGCAGAACATTTCTTCAAAATAAGCCCCACCTTCCAACCCATTTGCTGCACCAAGCTTCTCCTATATAGAAATCCTAGAGCTGCCACTGAAAGGTCCTCACATGCCAAGTCCTCTTGGCTGGGATGTTAGTTCAGAATTGTCCATGAGGAAGCAAGTGCTAGACTTGTAACCATCCCTTACAGGTCCAGCCCCAGCACTGCTACTGGCTTCCAGTGAGACATTGAGACACAACCTTCTCTGAGGCTCTCTTACCCCCATAGAAATGTTTGCAGCTGCAAATCATCTCCATTTTTAATTTAAATAACAGTGGAGGAAGAAAGTGGGAATAGGGGTGGGAACTCACCAAAACCACATGGGGTGAGCTGAGGGTAGGAGCAGAGGTACCAGATGCAACAGTCGTGGACTGGCCTGGGGTCAGGGGCTCCCCAATGGGTCCTGGGTTTGCAGGTCCTTTTATCTGTCCACTGATCCCTAAAAGTCTGTGCTTTGTGTGCTAATCTCATATTTTTTGCCACATCTATGAATGTTGTGTGCTCATTCTTACCTAATACTTTAGTTTCTCTGTTAGTTGGTTCACCTACATACTAGACAACTCATACAACCTAATAGTTCCCCTTGCCATATTGCAGGTAACTCCAAAATAAATATAGTTCAAGCTAGATTCTATTGCTTGTGGAGGCTCCAGGCCTCATACTTATTTGCATTCTTAAAAAGGTGGATTAGATTAGTAAATTTTGGATAGATGTTAAAGACACACTGGCACCAAACTAGTACTTTCTCCTTGATAAAATCATAATTAATAAGGATTGAAAAGATCATTTTTTTCATTGATCCAATGTTATTAAATCCAAAGTTTATATACCACTTAAAATAATTTCATGTATCACCACACTTGGGGAAATGCTGATATGTCCTCAAATCAATCCTGTTTCCTTATATGGAGATGAGGAGGTGGGACCAGTGGCCTCTGAAGGGCTCTCCCCACTGCCAGAATAGAAGGTAAGGTGTCCAGGGAATTCCCCTGAACCGCTATCAGGAACCCATGGTGGCAAATACCAAGCTTCCTGGGTGGACTTTTAGATGGTTCTGGACTCCCATAAGTAGCCTCCCAACAAACCTTAGGGTCATGAAGACACCAACACTAATGTACCCAGGAAATTTTCACACCCAACCTGCCTCCTTGGACAGCAGCTTTAGCTCCAGACTTGTGTTTTATCTCTTGATCTCAACAGGCAGGAGGGAAGCACTACCACCCAACCTGTGCCAGATGTGTACGCTGCCACCAGATGTTCACCGAAGGGGAGGAGATGTACCTCACAGGTAAGCAAATCTGACCCTCTGTACAGCATTGTGATCCACTCATAACTGGAAAGGTGATAAAATCTCCTTCCATTTCAGTGTCGTCTTTGTTTTTGGCTTGTCCTCAAAATTGCAATTAATTTGCCCCTTTCTGGGTGGATCGGAAAAGTTGTTGGTGTGACTAATATGAAGTGACATGTAATCTGCCTTCCGTCCTGAGCACCTCCACCCGCTGCTCAGCTGGCCTGCTTCCCTGGCAGTGCTCTGAGCAGACTCCCCTGGCTCTGCATGAGGGTGGGAGGCTGAGCTCTCCAGGACCAAGGGGTCAGAGAACCTCAGAAGAATTCCAGGGTTGCAGAGTGTCTGTAGTACCACAGCCTCTAACCTACCTCCTTCTCCCATCCCTTCTCCCCACATCTTAGAGCATCACACTAGCCTGCTGCTCAGGTCTTCCCAGGGACTCTCAGGATGCACAAGAGGAATGGGGGGCACCAGTTGTGCCCAAAAAGCAAACCAGAACTACTTTCTTTCTGCTGCTCCCCAGAACCCAGCCCTCTTGCCCCAGGATTCTTCCAGCAGATTCTGCCCAGTCCATCATCCTAGGGCATCACGGTGCTCTCAGCACTGCCCTGCTGAGGGGTCTTCCTACCCACCAGTTTAGTAACAAATACTTCAGCCTAGCATTTAACTCATTCTCACCAAGGTCCCAAACTTCCTTTCTAGCCTTGAACATACCACACTCAAGCTGCCAAAACCGACTATAAATCATTGATTCGTCCATTCCACAACTATCTCTTGAGCCCCTACCATGTGCAGGCTCTGTGCTGGGGCCTATGATGAGGCCCAACCACAGCCCTACAGTCCAGTGTGGGGGACAGCATTAGTCAATAGTCACACAAATAAGTGTCAGCCATGGTAAGTTTTATGAAGAGGTGGAACATGGGGCTGTGAGAGCACACACAGGGTGGCAGGAGTGCAGATCTGAAGGATAAGCAGGTGCCATAGCCAGGGTGGCTTATAAACAAAAAGAAACCTATCGCTAACAGTTCTGGAGGCTGGGAAGTCCAAGATCAAAGCTCCAGCAGATTCAGCACTGGGGGGCAGCCCACTCCTCATAGACAGTGACTTCTAGCAGTATCCTCACAAGGTAGATGGGGCAGGCAGCTCTCTGGGGCCTTTTTTCTACGGGCACTAATCCCATTCATGAACAGCAGATTCAGCACTGGGGGGCAGCCCACTCCTCATAGACAGTGACTTCTAGCAGTATCCTTACAAGGTAGATTGGGCAGGCAGCTCTCTGGGGCCTTTTTTCTACGGGCACTAATCCCATTCATGAAGGCTCCATCCTCATGACCTAATCACCTCCCAAAATACCATACCGCCCAATACCATCACCTTGGTTGGGGGTTAGGGTCTCAACATATGGATTTTGGGGGGATGCAAACATTCAGACCATGGCAACTGGACAAAGAGAGGAAGAATGGGATGTACCAGCATGAGGGGACAGACTCTGCAAGACTCTGAGGGGGATGAAGAAGTGGCCCGTGTTTGAGACTGAGAGGAGCTTGTGGCCGGGGTGCAGACAGAGGTGAGAAGTGAGGCCAGGAGGCAGGCAGGGGCCCACTGGGCTGGGCCTTGTGACAAGATGGTGTTCAGTCCCCAAAATGAACTCATGGTCCTTCCCCTTGTCTTCACCTGCCCTCCTTTGGGAATCCTACCATTCTAAGCTCAGTTCAGTCACTGCATACTTCATAAACACCCAGATTCTCTCAGCCACATGCACAACTTAACGTGCTCCCTGCTCCCTGAGTCCCACAGCCCTTTGCTTGTGCCGGGTCCCCTCCAACTTATACGAGCCCTTGGCCTTCTCCCTGAGACCCCTTGCTCCTGGCATTGGCCCCTCTGCCCTGACATCAGCTGAATTGCTACAGTTAATGATCCCTAGATGTTTGAATAGCTGTGTTGGAGAGGAGTGAGGGCTCCTCCTCTGAGTTCCCCCAGAAGGTAGATCCAAGGCCAGGGGGTCATTTACAGGGAGGGAGTCTTCTTGTCAGGCTTGTCCTAGCCATAAATGCCCACAGCAATGAGTTCCCTCAAAATATAATGAGTCCCCTGTGCCTAGAGCAGAGTTTCTCAACCTTGGCACTATTGACATTCTTTGGTGGGGAGGCTGTTCTGTGCATTGTAGGGCATTTAATAGCATCCCTGGTCTCTACCCAGTATATGCCAGTGTTTCTTCCCACTGTGACAACCAAGAATGTCTCAGATATTACCACATGTCCTGGGGGGACAACACCATCCTCAGTTGAGAACTGCTAGCCTACAGCTATTCCATAGAAGTGTGTGCCATCTGCTAGGGAGCTGGAGCAGGGATTCCTATGCTGGATTAGATGAGGTGACCACTTCTAGGCTGCTGTGACTCTATAACTATTTACTGGTATGTACTGTTATACAGGTGTTTGAGGTGGAAGGATCCCAGAGGTCACTCTAGACTGTAAAGTGGCAACCCTCATTGTATAGTTGGGGAAAGTGAGTCCCAGAGAAAGGAAGAGAATTTCGTGAGCACCAGAGCGTGCAGGGGCAGAGCAGGACCATGCCTTGGGACTCCCCCTCCAGGGCTCTCTCTGCTTTACCTCCTGGGACTCAAGCCCCACCTGCTAGTCAGATCCTGCCCCTTCCCATGAGCACCAATTCCTCAGTGCCTGGGTCCCCGAGTGATTCCTGCTGCAGGATCCTGTGTTACGAGTCTCAGCAAACTGCATGATGTTTTCATGGACTGCCCACTATGGGAATCTGGAGTTTGCACCTGGTTTGAAATTTTGCTGCACAGTATTTCTCTCCCCCTTCCCTGCTGAACACATTTCCTGGTGTTGAAACTGCCCTTCCATTCACATCCCTACCTGTGCATCACTAGAATAATCAACATCTTTACCATCCTGCTTGAATTCCCAGTCTTAATCTTGCCCCATTTGGTGCTTTGACCCAGACTGCCTCTGGTTGGATCCTGGCTTTACTGCTTACTGAGTGTTTGACCTCAGGCAAGTCTCTTAACTCTGAACCTTGGTTGCTAAATCTACAAAATAGACTAGTAACAGTCCCTGTAAGATAATAGGTATGGTAAAGTTACTAACACACGGGAAGCTCCCAGTTCATTCACTTAAGAAGTATCTATTGAGCACCATCCGTGTGTCTGGTGCTGCTCTAACAACTAGAGATGTAGCAGTGAGGAAATCGGACAAAGGCCCTGCCCTCATGGAGCTCATAGCATCATGGATTAGTATCTTCACTAACCCAACTTCACACCGATGCTGAAAGAGTTAAGCAGTGAAGGAAAGTGAACAGCTTTGTGATCCTGAGAAAGAATGCACCATCAAACCTAAGGCAGAAATGCCTCCAGGAGGTGGGAGATAATCTTGGTGATGAAGAAGGGCCTGTCACCTCCTCATTAATTATCCCCATCCCTACCCTCCTGGCTCCTGGGAGAGTGGGAGTAATTGCAGGGCGTTCAAGGACCTGCCTTGAGGGATGCTGAGTGATCCTGGGATGAAGGGGACCAAGCTGTGCCATGCTAGAGTCATGCTGACTTGGGCTGTGGGCGTCTTATGGGGGTGGGTGGCAGCCACCAAACGGTCTTGCTAGGGCTTGGACACTGAGAGCTAGGCCTTGGACACCCTCACTGGGTGGGGGTACCAGGAGTCAAAATGATATCGCCCAGAAATGGCAAGAAAGCCCTCCTCCCAGGCAGCACAGTAGTGGTAAGAGCTGGACGAGAGCCAGGACTCCTAGGTTCAAGTGTCAGCACTTCTGCTAATAAGCTGTGAGCTTGAGAAGTGACTTACTTCTCTGGGTCTCTTCCTTCACCTGTGAAGTGAGGTTAACGTCACTGTCTTTCATGCATCCATTCCAGTGGAGGCCACACTTTGTGCCAGGCACTCTGTTACGTGTTGGTGCTCAGACATGAATGAGGCAGGCACGCCTGCTGCCCTGCTGGAGTTTACTACCTGGAAGTATAAATATTCAATGTCAAGCTGCGATAAATGCCATGAAGGGAAAGTTTGGGGGCAATGGAAGTGTGTTATAAGGCCCTGATCTAGTCTTGGAGGCAAGGGAAGGCTCCCCTGAAGAGGGGACATTTCAAGCCAAGATCTTGAAAATGAGTAGGAGGTGGAAGGGTGAAGAGGGAGGGAAGGCTGTGGAGGAAGAGAGAACAACAGGTGCAAAAGACCCCAGGAGGAGGAAGCATAGCATGGTGGAGAAACTGAGGCAGGCCCATGTACCTGGCACACAGAGAGCAAGCGTCCACCACATGGTCCTTATGAACATTAGAGCAGAGGATGAACGTAAGGTGTTGAGGACCCATAAGGCAACCTGTACGAGAGAGAGGGTTAGGATGCCTGCAAAGGTCACTCACCAGTCCTGTCAGTTCTGCAGCTGGACACAGCATGGTTTTAGCAAATGGTCCTGGGGAGATTCTTTTGGTCAGTTTGTTTGTGTTTCATTTGCTGTGTGACAGCTTTCTGATGGGCTCTAATTGGAAGAAGTCTGACGTCTGTCTGGAGAAGAACTTCTGGGGCCCGAGGAGACAAGAGCAGGTTTTCTTTTATTTAAGTTCTATTGTGCATTCAATCTTTTAACTGTTTTTTGTAAAGTTGCCAGATACCTAATCTGTTAGTTATCCAAACCCTTAATTTGGGCTTCACCGGGAAATTAGGTCACTGATTTTGTGCAGCGAAATAATAGCCAAAATGCTGCAGGTTTGGGGCAAAACTTACACTGAAATCACAAAGGTTATAGTTGCTGGACCAGTGGGAGTTTTCTAAACCCCAATGTGGTTCATGAGGCAGATTTTGCTCTTGTTCTAAAGGTGTCTGTCCCCAGGAAAAGGGGGAAAATAGACTCTTTTTCTCCCCTTCTGTCTATACTAAATACCCTCCTGTCCCAATAACCTAAGATGATAACACAAACACGGGTGTTCAGCTGCACATTTTTAAGCAGTTATCTGTTGTCATTTGTGTATTTAA